ATGAAAGGAATGAAAGTGCACATCTCCACTACTGGTGAGATAAGCAGCTCGCTGCCGTGCTCCCAGACGCTGCTGTTGCTGTCGGTGCTGCATCGTGCCACAGAACTGGCGATGGTGCTTTGGCTCTCTCCCCTGGCCACCCGGTGAGCGGCACACACTACCAGCTGCTCGAGGACCTTTAACAGAGGTTTCTTAAGTGCTGTGAAAATGTCAGGCTGTATGAGGATGTGCCGTAACTGAAACGGAAAGGGTACTTAACCCGGCTTCAAACAGCAAAGACCCTTTTTGTTAAGCTTTCCGTGTATGCCTTTGTACTCCTCACTTTGTTTTTAATTTAGCTGCTAGCTGGAAGTACAGACAGGTTTGGTTTTTTTTGTCACAGCTGGGAAGTGATTTCAGCTATCTGCCTAAGCACAGCTCTTCCGCATTGCTTTGTGTGCGCATGGTTCCTACGCGTTGTTCTGAGACCCGGTTGTTCTTCAGAGGTGGTATGTAATCTAGGTAACGAGCCTTGCTTCTTACAAGAAGCGGCCTCTCCCTGAGGATTTCTACAGCTCAGGGTCAGAGGGGCAAGATTCCCACCTGTACCTGAAGATGTCAGATCATTCTCTAGGTCTGTGCAAGTTTGCTTTTCCACATACTGCTTTATGCTGACATAATTACCGTGTGGGCAAGAAATGTTTTTACTGGTGGTGTTGGAGGACGTGACCTCAGGATGAGGGGGCTTTGGTCAGGTTCGTAACATCTGAAACAGACAAAGGAACACTGAAATGTTGGAGAAGTTAATATCTAGCTGTACTCCTAGACTTTTGCAATCCCGTTGAAAACCCTATTATTTTGTCCATGTGTGACAGCGGGACTACCTTTTATATCTGAAGCTGGTGGCTCAAGTAGAAGGGTCCAGGCTTAACTTATCCTTGGCAAGTAGAATCTTCTCTAGATGTGTGGGTGGAATGAAACTAGTGCGAAGTGAGCTTTACACAGAAGGCTTTGAGACATACACAGCCATGGTATCACTGATAATACAGATATAAATACGAACATTTTATTTTTCAGATAACTACTATAGTAAGTTATAGGATGGGCAGGGTAATGCTGTGTAATCCATAGGGGGGAAAAATTAACTGAGTTGCAACTGGGAATAAAGATCTGAGTATCAACATTTCTGGGTTGTGGCAAGAAAAGTTGAAAGGGGAATCCTATTGCGGAGACCACCGTTTCTGTTACTCTCTCTTGGACAAAGTCCATCTTTGCTTAGCCAAGGGTTCTGTGCCTTGACACAACTCAAGTGATCCGGGTAAAGCGTGCTGCAGGGAAGGCTGAGCTCTAGGGACCCTCTGCTAATTGATTTCATCAACTTGAGGGCTTCAGAGAATTACATCTGAGCTGGTCAAGGATCGGTGAGCCAGGCGCAGTCAAGAGTTGATGAGAAAGGGGAGAGGTGTCTGCAATGAGTTCTTACTCACCGTGACACGTGCAGCAGGGATCTCAGTTAGGCGTGAAGATTGTCACAGCCAGAACAAGCTAAATTCAATTTCTGCTTTGTAGAGACAGTTCAAATAGCAGGTATTAAGCTTATTAAATGAAGAAGATCCAAGTGACGCTATCTACTTCTGATCTGATCGTTCTCCAGGAGACATAGTGTTTTAATAAGCTTGCAACAGCTTCTGCCTTTCAGCAAATTAAATAAGTGGGTCATTTCTTCCTTCAGCTAGCTTGAGGGTGAGGGAAAAGTGTCACTGCTAAGCTAATGCAGCTTTTATTCGAGATTAGAGCAAGGGATCTGTTGAGACTTTTTTTAGCCTTGGTGTGCTTATAAGGGAGACAGCCACAAGAAGAGCTTTGAAGACATTTTTACTGTAGGAGTCATGCTGCTACAGAAGAAAAAAAAATTAAAAACCTTCCTGCTTCTTCCTGTGAAAAATATTTAGTGTGCTGATATTTATAGCCGGCAAAAGCATTTCAGTGCTGCAGGCCTGCCTCTGGCTGAATAAAACAAAGCAAGAGCAATCTTTCGCTGAAGTTTTCCAAAAGTCTGTCTGCAAAATATATTTTATAACAAGTACTGGAATAAAAGGGTGAGGCTGACTGGGAGGTTACCTTGAATAAAAGGTTGTCTACCTTTTAATAAAGTACAGCAGAAAGGGTTCACCGTTGTGCTATAGCAGGGATGTCTGATTTTCCGAATGTGATAATATTAAGAATCGCCTTGTGATGGGGAGAGTCCCCAGCCTTTTCGCAGTTCTTCCACCCTCCCCTCGCCTTCAAAATTACCCTTTAAGGACATGAAGCAGTGAAGATCTACTGTCACGTGTCCGGGGTGAAATAAGAATCCCAGCCCTTTCCACTTTGGGAGAGCTCTGCGATGATGGCAATATCGTACAAATCATGCTGTTTCTCCAACAGTTTGGTTTCTTTTGTAGGCAAGTTAGCGTTGAAAGCCACAGTCTGACTAAAATGGCACAAGGATCGTCCAGATACCAAATATCGTTACTGTGAGAGTGATGGTGGGAGTTTTGTAGCTGCAATAGTTTAGCTCCTGCTGGTAAACAAAGCCTGCCATAATCAGTGCGATGGCTCTGTGCCCTGGCAGCGGTCACACGGTGCCACATTGATGGACGCCCTCGGCTGTCCTTAGGAAAATGGAGCTGCTTCTGCAAAAGTAAACTGGAAATTAAGGGCTTTTTGGTGGTGATGTGGGTTTTTTTTCGTGTTTGTTTGGGACATTTTTGTTTTTTAAAGGCAGCTCTGAGAACAGTATTACCCTTGCTCTCAAGTCACGGCTTTCTACCACAAGTGAAGTTTCTTCAAGAAACTGCCAAAACGGTGTGGATGGAAACTCCGCCTTCTGGTGTGACTTTTTGTGGTAGACGAGTAAGGATTTGCCTTATTACAGGTGCCATCTTACAGGTCTGCGTTGTGGTGTTGCTTTTAGAAGTGCTTAGCTACAGATGACTGATACTCCGTTAATGGGCAATTGTATTATTTCTCCTCCTTGCAAAGACCATTTGAGGGAAGATCCTAAGAGGAGAGAATGCTGAAGGAGCAGTGCTGCAGCTCATCGCCTCAGAGAGCAATTGAGGGCAGCCGGCAGCGTGAAAAAGGAGCCGTCTCAGCCTAGCCGGTATGAAAACCTTATGGCAGGGATGGTCCAAGTTCTGCCTTTCTGTGGGGTGTTAGGAGTGTCTCATCTCTGGCCCAGAATCTCCCCCAAAGGGGCCACCCCGTCTAGCTTCCAGGGACACGGTTTGCTCTTTCTGAAATTTCCCTGCCTGGCAGTAGTTGATAGGTCGCATGTGCCTGGTACGAGTATTCACCAAGGCAGTCCGGCTCCTTGGTTGTAAAATCCTTTCTGTCTGGGGGATGTCAAATCCATACTTGCTAGAAGAGTCCTGCGTCCCAGGCTGGTTAGAGGGGCCTCAGCTCCTCTGCTTGGAAGGGTCAGGAACACGTGCAGAGCATGTTCCAGCTGTGCAACACAGCGCTTCATTCATTTGCCGGAAAGGGAAGGTGTTTGTGTGGGAATTTGGGACTTCCAGTTGCCAGACTCTGCATTTCACTTACCAGCAACACAAGTACAATAATTTATGGGCTGTGTAAAGCACGTACCTGTGGCATTTCTTGCTCTTCAAACGACGTTTTAAAAGAAAGTGACAAATGTAGGTGCCTGTTGTGAGCAGCCAGCTCTGCCAGGCATGCTTAGCATTCCTCGGGGAGGAACACTCGCACCCTGCTTTGCAGTGCTGGCCAGGTTTGTAGGTCTATAGAACTGTCAGAAAAAGTAATATTTACAGTAATATAGAGTTTATCCTTCACCTGTAGCTAGGGGAGGGAGCAGCTTAACATAGCTAAAGGTAACTCCCTTCCCTCCAGGCTTGCTGTGGAATTTGGGCGTTGCAGGTTTGAGAAAGAGCACTCACAGTGAAAGCAAAGCAGCCGTGCGAACGTGCCAGTTAGGACTGCGGGGTCGGGGGAGAGAGCTCTGCGATGGGCGGCATCACCACTAGCTTGGAGCTCGAACAGCCACTAGTTGAGACAGACCGCCTACTTACGATAGGGAAATGAAAAAGATGGCAGCGGAGACGTTACTTTTTTTTTTCCCCAAAGACTTTTATTAATAAACACCTGGAACATTTAAGAGTTACTACAGGCCTTACTTTACATGGAAGTACTGCTTTATTTGCTCTGCCTCATCTTTCTCAACTCTCTAAATGTCAGCCCAACTCCAACTGTTGTCTCTCTTCCCTCCTCTCCCGGCATAGTGGCATGTTTCCAAGCCATACATACAAGACCTACGTCATACCCAGGAGCACCAGAGTTACCGTACTAACACAGCTCTGCTGTGGTGTAGGTGCTTAGCCAGAGTTCCCCTGGGCCACGGAAGGAGGCTCCTGAACACTGTCGCTGTAGGATTTCAAGTCGGATGCAGGATCACCGACTTCTCTCAATAAATAAATTTCATCTTCTAACAGGTTCCAGTGTAGCTTTAGATTCTGAAGATAAATAAAAGAAAGTCTTTTCAACATGAAGATTGGCCCTTTACTGAAACAGCAAGATTTGACAAGACTACAAATTTAAACCATTTAGAAAAGTAATACTCGAAGCAAGAGGAGGAAATGCTCCCGGGTAGGTGTGTCCTCTGGAGGGAAGCAGAGAAGAGACAAAGATAACAGTCACTGGGTATACATACCTACAGGCCGTACGTGTGTAACGGACACATGCACATTCATCTGGAAAAGTGAGGATATTGCTATATGATGTAGAATAGTTTGCCTCTATTTCCTCACCTGCTCTTACTGGAGGGGGACCTTCCTCACACTGCGCTATTATCCATTCACTTTTAATGACATTGTCATCTCGAGTCATGTGAAAATGTAACATGAGCTTAGATTTGTTCACGTCTGAACTGCGTTAAACTTCTTTTGTATTGCAACAGAAAAAGATTTAAGAGAATCTCACTGAGTAGTCGAGCCTCCTTCCCTTTGGTACTTGCACAAGCTTGACATGAAATAAATAAAATTAGCATGCTCTCAGGGCAAGTTGTATTACAAACACACGTGTTTTGATTTAAATACTAAGGCCTCCGCATTCATTAGAGGATTAAATCCTTAAACACGGGGGTTAGTGAAAGGATAAAGCTCATTTGCCTTCCGGTTCTCAAACCCCGGCACGGCAAGAACACCACGATGAGAACACTGGCTCCTTTCTTCCTCCCTTGGAGGCTCCAGAGAGATTAACAAGCGCTGAACGGCAAGTGTAACTCCAAACGAGTGCCCGTAATAATAATGTTTCGTCAAGAGTATTTCCTCACCCTTCAATAGCTCCCAGCTTCAAAAGTCTTCTCTAAAATAAAATAGTGGTGAGTTAAGACACTGCAATACCAGGTGGCGTTCCAACCCATTACAGCAGTCTGTCGGGGTCTTGATTAAAACTAAAGTCACACACCAGGGACAGGTGATCGGAAGGGTAATTGAATGATGGCAGCCTGTTGGGCCCAATTTGCTCTTCAGTCAGCAAGCCCAGGGCTGAGTTCACGTTCAAGGCGTGCTGGGAATACCAGATATAATCCAGTGTGTGCCGGCACTCTCCCGAGGGCCGGATCTTCCAGGTGGTGTACGGGGGCTCTGACTGCCCGTCGGGGCTCAGCAGCTTGTAGGCGCTGTTTAAGTTGAGGCTGGAGTTGGAAAATTCTCTGTAGACCTCCTCAGTTGGCTCCGCGTTGAAGTCTCCGCAGATGATCAGAGGGATCTTCGCACCTTGGGTAATATTCTTCAAGTTCTGGAGAAGATCGCAGCCTTGCGCGGACCGAAACCTCTCCCAGCCGGTACGGGCTTTCAGGTGGGTGACGGCAATGCAGAACAGTCTTCCAGTTTCATTGCACTTCAGCGTCTGAGCTATGGCCACTTGGTTGGTCTTCAGCTTCATGGCGGTTAGACGGATGTTGGCGCTGTTGATGAGCTCAAAGCGGTCTTTGAGGAAAAACAAGGCGCAGCCGTCCGGCCCGTTGTTCTGCTCCACATCGAGGCACGGGGACCACGGCTTCGGGAAGAACGTACACTGGTAGCCCAGGCGGCTGAGGAGCGGCTCAAAGGTGTCAAAGTAGTGGTCGACTTCTTGCAGGCACAAGATGTCAGGTTTGTACGCAAGGATTTCCTCCAGGATGAGGCACTTCCTCTCTTCCCATTTCAGAGCTTCCATGGGGCACTGGACGAAGTTGTCTTTGCCTTCTCCGAGAGCTGAAATTAGCAGGGAGAGAAAAAGGAAAAAAAAAAAAAAAGAAGTTACCGATAGCTAAAATGGGCTGTTTTCCTCCAGGTTTTGCGGAGGCGAGAGGGAAGGCTCTGTCACAGTGCAAGATGGTTACAACGGGACCTGGCATGAGGCTTCCGCAACACTTCGCTTTCTCTGTGAAACAGGCGTACGTCAGTTTACGTGCAGGTGATGGGTCTCCCAGGAGGAGCTGCTGACTTTGAGGGTGCCAGGCTTGCCAACGGGGGTGAGAACCCTGTCGCAAAACACTGAAGTCTCTCCAAAAAAAACCCAAATCTCTCCAAAAAAAGTAAGTTCCCTTTACAGATAGAAGTTAGATGAAAGACTTTTCTGCCCCCCTCGTCCCAAAAGTCACTATGCTGCAGCAAGTGCTTCCACATGTGGCTGCCACAGATTAAGCCCAAGAAAAAAATGCAGTGGGATGGGAGGGATTTAACTGCCGAATGTTAAGGCAATCCCCCCGTGGGGGATTTCCCACCCCAAAAGATTTTAAGATGAGGCTGTTGCATAAGTCGGTTTACAGCCTTAATTTTAGGGGTCTGAGAAGAAAATTATTTTGAGGAATTAAGAATTGCCTTAACAGATCTGAATCCCGGAAAAGCTCACTGATAATCAGAAAACTGTAGAGAAGCTTTACAAAGAATAAAATCTGTGTAAGGATGTGTCTTTTCTGGGGGTTAAAACCTATCTAAAAGTGATGGGTCACCGCTTTTTGAATACACTGTGTTCAGTTAAGACAGGCATTCAGAGCTACCGTTGGCATCACAGTTGCAAGGAGAGATCTTTTGTCCTTTCCCACAGAACAGAAGGCAAACCACTACTTCAAGTGCTGAAAATTTCCCTGCCCTGGTCCTCAGTCAGCTGTGCCCCACATAATCCACCTCTCCTCCTTTGCCCTGCCAATCCCAGGCATGCCTAATTACAGCTGCTTTTAAAGGTTTTCATTGCTGCGTTTGCTCTCGAGGTCACACCTTGAGCTCAGAGGAGCTCCTACCTTGGGCAAGGATGTTCCACTGCATCACCCGAATGGGGCGGTGGTTACTGACGGCGTTTTTCTTCAGGTCCACGAAGTCCCTCTGAAACCGGGGCGGCCGCTTCTGCAAAACGATCTGACATTCCTCCAGCAATTCCTTGGGGTCTATAGGATCCAGCCGTGCCGGGTCCGGCTGCTCCAGGCAGTCCTGGTGCTGGGACACGGCGCTGCTGCTCAGCGTCTTGGCGAGCGCGCTGTAGAGCCGGCTGGTGCTGTTTCCCATGGAACACACTGGAAAGGGGGGGGAAAAAAAAAAAAAAGGTGTTAAGAGATGTCTGCCGTGACTCTTCCCAGCACTTGGGTACCTTACAGACAGCCTTGTTCCGGCGCCAGCAATTTGTGGTCTGTGCAGGAGCCCGTTCCTGAATCTGAGATGAAATAAGAAGGATGCAGAGATAGGGTTGGTGCTGTCCACGCTCTCACCGTGTTTTGCTCGTTATCAGGGGCTGCTAACCTCGGCAGCACATCTGCTTAAAGGCATCGTGCAGATGCCTGCTTAGGGAAGAAAGGAGTCTTTCATGTGGAATAGTGGGGCCAAGATTAACTTCCGCACATGCTGTAGGAAACAGCATAAATTGAATGTATTTTTTCCCCTCCTCACAGAGGAGAGAGCCCAGCAGGTAGACAAGTACTGCCTGCTCCTTATTTCGTGTGCAGCGTTTATCTCTAACGGAGACGGCGCTCCGTGCAGCCCAGTACCCTGTGCCTGTGTGGGATGCAGGGTGACTCATTCCCTCAGGTTAATATTTAATAGGAATTTCTGATCAGCGCTTCATTTGCCCCGAAAGCAGCGACGTTTTCATGAGCGCGGCCGTATGCTTCTGCCGGCTTAGACCTTGGGGTGGGGAGTGGAGAAGAAAGGGTTCTCTCCACCTCCCCTTCTCCTCCCTATGCTCCTTCCCCTCACTCTCCCATCGGCTCCTCGCTCCTTCCCGCTGTGCCCCAGCTCACAGAATGGTCAGGGCTGGAAGGGACCTCTGGAGATCATCTAGTCCAGCAGCTTCCCCGGTCCTGCAGTCCTTTCCAGGCTGCAGCGACCTCCGGCGCCTTTGGCCATCTCCAATGCAGATACACAGCCATCCACCAGTTCTCACCATTAATGCCCGCTAGCAGTTAGCTCTGTGTCTCCTGCAGGGAGGTCCCCCGTCCCACATCGGGTCACATCTGCCATGGGGCGGTGAGTGTGCGTGTGTGTGTCCATCCATCACGCTCTGTTCTGTCCTTTGGCTTACACGCAGGACCCCTTAGCAGGGGTCGAGCAGCAGAGCCATCCCTGTCAGCCCTCATGACTGTCGTGCGATAAAGTACCCCCTTCTCCTGCTCCACACGAACACCACCAGTACCACCGCGGAGCTGCGAACGCCCAGAGGCTGAGCTGACTGCAAACACGCAGGAGACTCTTCGCGTTAAGGGCAGCTGCAGAGGAGTTTGCAGGGAGCTCAAGATATTCCTGCCCATCTCCGCAGCGAGCCCTCGGCGCCGCCATGCATGCCCCCAACGTCTCTTCCAACCCTTCCTCAGCGGGAGGACACTGCTCTCAAGTGCCACCTTTGCCACCGCGGCCAGGTGCTCTGCCCAGGCGGCGTGCCTGGACGCTCGGTTTCCCTTCAACCGCGGGCAGGAGGAGCAGCGCTCGCACCACAGCAACTTGCACAAGAGGCACCGCTGACACAGCTCCCTCATCGCCTCAACTTTGTTGCCCTGAAGGCATTTTTGCAAAGGTAATCTCCAGCAAAGGAACTTCAGCGTTGCATCGCTGTTGGCCCGCGGCAGATTTTATGTAAGCTTCTTTGTACCTCTGAGTTGCTTAAAAACGGAAGAGGCTCATCATCTCGCGGCAGATTTTGGGGCGCTGCCCAACACAGTTGTGTGTTCAGGCTTTGATAGCCTGACCGACAGCTTCGTACCTACCAGTCATAAGAGCTGGTGACAGACATACAGCAGTGACAGACCTGGCTAGAGGGGAAGGCAGGAAGATGGAAGCCCTAACAGTTCTATAAATGCACTTAGAAGGAGTAAAAGAGAAAAGAAAGAGCCTGCAGCAGGAGCCTCATGTCATTGTCGTTAGGAAAATGGGTATGTTTAAAGATACTTAAAAAATGCTTGCTTTAACATATGTTTTGTATGTGTAGAGTGGAGTAGTGTCTCTGAACAGTTCTAAGAAAGTTGTAAATTGGGAATTTAAATTGCAGGTAGGACATCACTCCCCATCTCCATCTTTTTAGTTAATGTACTGCAAGTTCCTCAAACGGAGACGTGAGCTTGGGCTCACAACCGTGAATGTATTTCTTTGGAAACTGTGGTTTAAAGCCTCCCAGTTTCTGCAGTCTTTCTTAGTTTACAATTCCTGTCAAGAAGCCAAGTACCACTGAAGCGGGAGAAATGCCATTTAACAGTGAGGGAAGCGGGCCCAAACATGAAATCCCAAAGCAGGATGCTGACGCAGCTGGGAGGTGATGGGGAAACAGGAAGGAAAGCATGCTCTGTACTGGTTACAGAGGGCTCCAGCTCACACAGCACCAGAGCTGCCAGGCAGAAACACCCAAAAAATCAATAGAGCTTTTAATGACAGCTCCGCAGGGAGCGCCTCGCCTATTTTTGGGGTAGGTACAACCCATAGTTAAGCGCTGCAACTGGAGAGAAGCACAGTGTTCTTCTACCGCTGGGATGCCATCAGCAGCCGAGTGCAGCCACTAGCCCTACGCCCCCCACAGCTCTGCCCCAAAGGCATGTCCCAGCCCTCCCCTCCGGGCACAGCACCAGCTCGGTGGTGGGGAGCCCATGGGTGGCTCCCCATGGTGGGGAGCTCCTGCCATGCCATGGATGAACACGGCTCACGCAAGGCTTGCCAAAGGAGTAACAGGGAGTTATTCCGCTCCAAGAAGGCATCCAAGCAGCCCTGAGGAGAAGGACCTGGGGGTGCCGACTGATGAGAAGCTCAACATGAGCCAGCAATGTGCAATCACAGCTCAGAAGGCCAACCGGATCCTGGGCTGCATCAGAAGTGTGGCCAGCAGGGTGAGGGAAGTGATTCTGCCCCTCTACTCCACTCTCGTGAGACCCCACCTTCAGTACTGCATCCAGAGAGTTGGGGCTGTTCAGCCTGGAGAAGAGAAGGCTCCAGGGAGACTTTATTGCGGCCTTCCAGTACCTAAAGGGGGCCTACCGGAGAGCTGGGGAGGGACTTTTTACTAGGCCATGCAGTGATAGGACGAGGGGGAATGGCTATAAACTGGAAAAGGGCAGGTTTAGATTAAACATGAGGAAGAAATTTTTCACTCTGAGGGTGGTGAGGCACTGGAACAGGTTGCCCAGAGAAGCTGTGGATGCCCCATCCCTGGAGGTGTTCAAGGCCAGGCTGGATGTGGCCTTGGGCAACCTGGTCTAGCAGGAGGTGTCCCTGCCCATGGCAGGGGGGTTGGAACTCGATGATCTTCAAGGTCTCTTCCAACCTAAACCACTCTATGATCAGCAAGAGCTGAGGCTGCTTAGTGCTCGATCTGAACCAGAGGGAGGATGTCCAAAGGGACAGGGTAGCACCAGGGACAAGCTGGGTGCAACGCATCTGGAGGCAAAAGTCTACCCAGCTTACAGCTGTCACAGCAGGATGAGGTCAAAGTTCAGTCCTGCACCTGCCAAGCTGCAAACAAAGCCAGAGTAATGTCTAAATGTCCTCATGCCTGGGGACATGGGCTATCCAGCTCTTAACGGGGACTCAGGCATAGCCTAACCTGCACGGGATGTGCTATGGCCCAGTTCTGACAGCTTTTAAAGTCAGTAAGGTCTCAGGAAGGAAAAAGGGCTTCCGTCTTCTTTTGAGATGGGGAAGGTTGGGTGAAAGAGGGCCTGGGCTGTAAATCAAACACTTTCGGGCCTGTTGTAGGTGGCTTGGGAGCCCCTGGCTGAAGGGGAACTTCTGCGGGAAGATTCCAGCATGACAGATGAACTGCACAAGTTCTTTGTCCCTAAAGTCCTGAAACCATCCCAGCACAAACTGCATCGTTCTGCAGAGCAGGGGCCAGACCAGCAACCTCAACACTTGAAACTCCAAACACCAAATCCATTTTGTTCTTTTTACAATGCTTAACATGTCTGTGGCAGCGAGGCAAGTACGAGGCCACCGTTCCGAGATCCTTACAGGCCAAGTTAAATGACCTGTAACTTGCTGGGATAACGTCTGTCGCCGGTGCTGGGACACCACGGTGCTGGTGTACGCAGAGGAACAAGCGGACTCCTGAGCTTGCATTTAGCAGTGGGTGGTGAGCACGGACACAACTCTTTTGGTGCGATGTTGCAATAGGGAACGCCAGCTCAGCAATTACTATTCAAGGTGCTTAAAATAATAATGATGATAAGAAAAAAAAAAAAAGCCTTGCTCTCAGCAAGGGTGGTGCCTCAGCACAATAAGGGCAGGGCAAGGATTTAAACTGTTCATTAACCCTCAGAAGAAGAGGGTGCAAAGCTCAAGGTTCCTCGTGTCATCCCACAATAGCACAGAGGAGATGAACTTGTAGGATCTCAGGCGACAAAACAGCCATGGGCTTTATTTTAAGGACTTTGCTTCAGAGATGAGGGTGGTAGAGCAGGGGCCTTTACCTTTTGGGTGAGGTGAAGAGCATTCCGGTTTCCCTTCATCTCCTACCTCCAAGTGCTGCTTTTGGCCGAGAGCCTCCACCTGGTTCACCGCAGGGATTACGCTGCCAGGTGAACGGCTCCAGCCCTCCCGCAGCCCTGGCTGTAGTTGCATCAGCCTCCGTGGCCGAGGAGGCCGGCAGCAGCCCGAGACGTCCTCCCCGCAACCCCAGTTCTTGGACAAACTTGGCAGATGCCGTCCCCATGTGACAAATCCTAAGCTTAGAGGGTATCGTACTACACGCGTAGCCTTGTTCAGGCCAGCGATGGGAGTGCAGCCCTGGGCCATTCAAAGCCACAGTGGCTGCTGCTGCTTGGAGTTCAAAAGTCCTGATTTTGGCCAGATTTAAGACCTAAGCCGGTTTTACGCACCGGGAAGTCAGGACCCTTAAAGGGGGATCCAGAAAGCTCATCACAGCGACTGAGGTGCTGCCTAGTCAGCAGGCAACACCAGAAAGAGGAGGGAGCCTCAAATCCTGCCCCAAGTAACACATGGAATCAGGACTTGGCATAAGCTGTGGAAACCCTTTTCCTCGAGCGCTTTACTCACGAGCTCGCAAGGCACAATATGCTCCTCTTCTCTGGAGCTCCGTGGAGCTTCCATCCTGCTGTTCATGCTGGCCTGGCTTTAATAAGAAGTGGAAGGACCCCTGCCCCAGCCAGGCTCGTAGACCCCTCCTGTAACGGCACCACCAGCCACCCTTCACCCCAACCCCAGCTGAGGGCAGCAGGGAAAAGTGGGTCTCCCACCGGCCAGGTAAGCGATGCAGCCTCAGATACTGCATGAGGGGTGTCACACTGGTCACCTCTCCCACCAGCAGCAGCCTGGAGCACTGGTGGCTGCTGCCCCAGCTTCCACCGGGACCCTCTCCTGCGAGTGCGCGTGTTTGGCAACGGCCAGAGGCTGTCTGCTGGTCAACAGCCGGGGCTTAGGGCTGGATCTGAACCGCCGAGGCCCGGCAGGGATGTCACCGCGCCACTCCGCGGGGCAGCGGGCAGGGAGCCCGGTGCCTGCCAAGGCATCCGTCCTCACATGGACCCCGGGCAGACCGTGCACCCAAGGACATGCCGGACCTTGAACGCTTTCCAAGTCTCATTTTAGGAGCGAAGAACAGGGGGGAGGCGTAATCGTTGATCCCTAGTGGTACAGGCAAGCGGGAACCCGATGCCTTTAGCATCACCGCGCTTTCGCCGGCCTGAGGGGCAGCGGGGCTTTTCCCACACGCTGCCTATAGTAGGAAAAGAAAAAAACCACAACCCCAAAACCCCACTGTGAGTCACATACATCCCACACGAAGCGCGACGCTGGCAGAGAAGGGGAGACAACAGCCCTCAGCCAGCCGGCGGCGCGCTCCTGACGGCGGGACAGAAACGCTGAACCCCTTCGGGGCCCGGGAGG